GCATCGTCAGTGAGTCTCGCCATTCATAGCACCATAGTACAGCTCGTCAAAGAGACAAGTGAAGCCCATCATTTGACCAAACGTATGCTAAACAGTTGTGGTATCTCCCCTTCTGCCCTGGGCTATTCACATTTGCTATATCCTCCTATCACGCCTTCCCTGTCATAATTTTACCGTGCTTCACTTGTCTCCTTGACGAGCTGTACTTTGGTGCTACGAATGGCGAAACTCACTGACGATGCCGGCGAAAAGTCTATGAAAGTACCACGTCAATGGTCCAACTTTGGAAATAATCATGCATACAATGGACTCCGGACTAGGTACGTTCCTCTAAGTCTTCCTACCAATGTGAGAAAGTTACGAAAACAAGATCAAATAACTTCTATAAAACCTGGAGAATTTTCTTGGTTTGATAAACAGGATCGATGGGAAGACGAAATTCACCATCGAATTAGAAAATGGAGGTGGTTTGCCTATTCTTGAAGTCCTAGTTAGCAAATACGGGACCAGATTAAGTTGAGATGTGTGTAGGAAACCCACAAATGCAGGTTTTCTTTTGAATTTATTCTCCAATCACATTTATGGAGTTCAAGTGGGAGTTATGAAGTGTGATAATAAAGAGCCTGCGTTTGGTAGATGTTAAGCATCGGGACCAGGGACTAAGGAGACTAAGGCGAATTCTGGCTGAGAATAATTATCCAGGACGGCTGGTTGACAAATATTTTAGAATATTGTCAAATAGGATGAAGGGAAATACATATTTGGGGTTAGGTAGGCGCCCTCATTCTGATCATTGAAACAGGTACGGAAAGACTAAAATATTGCGTGAAGATGCTGCAAGAGAATAACTAGCCCTATGAAATCCGTTTTATCTACATTTTAGAGACTCCTTTGCTCTTGCATTCTCTGGCCAATTGAGACTGACCTCTGATTATAGGAGTATCTGCTCCGTTTTATTGTGGATCTCAAGTGGGGAGATGTTTCCCGCCTAACAAGATGCATGCATTCTCATAAAACTGCGATGGGGCGATGACACTACTCGCAAGTCCAGCCCTACTTGGGGCTGGTATCTGAAATTCGTCCAAACTTTAGCCCTCATTTATAAAGTGTCCTAACAACGACTTGGAATTTGAGCGGAAGGATAAAAGTGTGTAAACCCCATTGCTATTAGAAATCATTAGTTGCTGCGATGTCTCGAAAGGCTGCTAAAATTAGCTATTTATAGTCAATATTAAGCTGGTTGATTTTGGTGGAATTGTGTCGTAACGGAGATGGTAAAGAGGTTGTCCAATATTCAGTGAGTGGAATAAATGAAACGTGAATATAGCTGACAGTGAATTAGGGTCGTGCGATGTTATGGGCTCGACTATTTCTCACGGAAAGGTAAGACTTAAATGTGACAACCCTCATTTTAACTCTGTCTCTTTCAGCCAAATGCTCGATGACCTTTGAATACTTAATCTTAATATAAAATTGAATAGAAGTTGTTTGACCTTGTTTTCGCAACTTGGTCATAATGGTAGCAAGACTTATAGAAACGCACCTTGG